AATGATATTAAGGATTACTTATGTGAGGATGAAGATGGTGAAGATAAGAGGGAAGATGACTTCTATGCAAAGCTAGCAGATTCTGCAACTCCTTTATACCCAAACTGTGTAACCGATAGCAAGCTGTCAGCCATTGTCAAACTGTTTAGATTGAAGATCCAAAATGGCTGGTCCGACAAGAGCTTTAATGATCTGCTATAGACATTAAAGGAGATGTTGCCCAAGGATAATGTGCTTCACACGTCATTGTATGATGTGAAAAAGTTTTTCAAATCTTTTGATATGGGTTATCAAAAGATACATGCTTGCTTAAATGATTGTTGTCTGTATAGAAAGAAGTACAAGACCTTAGATAGTTGTCCAAAATGCAAGGCTTCAAGGTGGAAGACTAATACCCAAACTGGTGAGGTAAAGATAGGTTTTCCAGAAAAAGTACTACGGTATTTTCCGATAATTCCCCGGTTGAAAAGGATGTTCAGGTCTGAGGAGATGGCTTAAGAATTAAGATGTCATTTCACTAACAAGAGCAGTGATGGAAAACTGCGTCACCCGGTAGATTCTGCGACTTGGGGTCAAATGAACCACAAATACCCATCCTTTGCAGCAGAAGAAAGGAATCTGAGGCTTGGACTTTCCACTGATGGATTCAATCCGTTTGACATGATGGATTCAATCCGTTTGCTGGCCTGTGCTGTTGGTAAATTATAATTTGCCTCCTAACCTATGCATGAAGGAGGATAATATCTTACTCACATTGCTTATCCCTGGTCCACATCAGCCTGGTAATAGTATTGATGTTTATTTAGAGCCCCTCATAGAGGATCTAAACCATCTGTAGAACAATGGAGAGTTAGCATATGACGCTTACAGTAAAACTAGTTTTACTCTTAAGACGATGCTTCTCTGGACTATTAGTGACTTTCCTGCCTTTGGAAATCTAGCAGGCTGCAAAGTAAAGGGCAAAATGGGCTGTCCTTTATGTGGGAAAAACACTGATAGTATGTGGTTAAAGTTTAGCAGAAAACATGTGTATATGTGCCATAGAAAGGGTTTGCCACCAACTCACAGTTACCGGGGAAAAAAGGCTTGGTTTGATGGAAAGGTTGAATATGAGAAAAATGGAAGAATCTTAAGTGGTCGTGAGATTTATAAAACCCTTAAGAATTTCAAAAATGATTTTGGAAATCTGAAGGAATCTGCAAAGAAAAGAAAAAGAAAGGAGATTACATGCTTAGAATCTGATGATGAGGATATCTCCAATGAATCCGAGGAAGAGGAAGAAGTAGAAGTAGATCAAGAGGAGTTATTGAGATGGAAGAAAAGGTCCATATTTTCAAACTTTCTTACTGGGAGGTTCGTTTTTCTGTTTTTAATTGTTTCTTTTTATCCGATTTTATCATTTAATTAGTTCGACTTTGGTTTTGACTCAATTTTATTTTTTTATTTTTTTTTATTAGGACCTCCTGGTAAGGCATAATTTGGATGCAATGCATGTAGAGAGAAATGTGGCAGCAAGCATTGTCTCCACATTATTGCATTGTGGGAAATCTAAAGATGGTCTTCAAGCTCGCAAAGACCTGCAGGATCTTGGTATTAGGAAAGATTTGCACCCGACTATCCAAGGAAAAAGAACTTACCTTCCAGCAGCACCATGTCTTTGTCCAAGTTAGAGAAGAAAGTCTTTTGTAAGCGACTCTTTGATTTTAAAGGTCCAGATGGATATTGTTCAAATATATCAAGGACAGTATCTTTAGAGGACTGTAAAGTAAGAGGACTTAAATCACATGATTACCACGTGTTGATGCAACAACTTCTGCCAGTTGCACTTAGAGGATTATTGCCTAAAGGTCCTAGGATAGCCATCATACGCTTGTGCGCATTCTTCAATCAACTGTGCGAGTTGTTGATGTATCTCAGATATCAGGAATGGAAGCTCAGTTAGTTGAAACTTTATGCATGTTTGAAAGATTTTTTCCACCGAGCTTCTTTGATATAATGCTCCACTTGACAGTACATCTAGGAAGGGAAGCCCGATTAGGTGGTCCTGTCCATTTTCGATGGATGTACCCATTTGAGAGGTAAACAATTTATTAAACATTGTTTATTTTTGTTTTCTTACTTTTCCTTTGTTTTTATTGATACTGATCATTCTTATTTATTGTTCAGGTATATGAAAGTATTGAAAGATTATGTCAGAAACCCTGCAAGACCAGAGGGGTGTATAGCCGAGTCTTATCTTGCAGAAGAATGTATCCAATTCTGTAATGAGTTCTTGAAAAAGACAACAAATGTGGAGGAAAAATTAGATAGGAATACTGATTATGAGAATAGTTCTATCTTGGAGGGCCGTCCGATATCAGCAGGGAAGTCATTTATTCTCACCGAGACAGAGAATAAAATAGCTCACCTTGCTGGGATCCAAAATATGGCTGTCGTAGACCCGTTTGTGGAGTAAGTTCCATCAGAAATCCATTCATTTGTCATTTCCTCTATGTATAACTGACGTAATTATTTTTTTTTTTGTCTTTTTGTTGTACAAGTGAGCACCTGCAGCATCTACAAAGCACAAATGTAAGATGCAACCGTGATGCATCAGTGTTATGGAGTATGCATACTCAGAACTTTGCTGGTTGGCTAAAAGAACAGGCAAGTTAAATGTACTTTAAATTTGATTATGAGATTGAATTTTTCATCTTTTCGGTATCTGACTTTTTTTCTCTAAACTTGGTAGATACCTATGGATTCAGACAAATATGGAGAAACACTTAAGTGGTTAGCATATGGTCCTCGTAATAGCTCAAGGTCCTACACAGGTTATATAGTAAATGGGCAACGATTTCACACGACTTCAGTGCATAGGCAAAGTCAGAACAGTAGGGTTTATTATGAGGCAACTGCAATCTGTAGATCTAGTGCAAAAGACATGTCACAAGTGACTGCGGTGGTGGAATACTATCGGCGAGTCACTGAGATTATATTGCTAGACTATAATGTCTTCTATGTTCCTTTATTCAAGTGTCAATGGGCAGTAAAGGGAAATGGGGTAAAGGTAGAAGATGGACTCACTCTAGTTAATCTTAATCAGAGTCATGTGTCTTTTATGAGGGATCCGTACATTTTAGCTTCTCAAGCAAAACAAGTGTTGGGGTCGGTTTTCACCCCACGCAGATAAAACCATCTCAAAATGACTAAGTATGAAAGTGGGAGAGCCGTGGTCACCAAATGGGAGAGCCGTTCTCACCAAGACAAGCGGGAGAGCCGCGATCACCAAGTGGGAGAGCCGTGAAGGAAGACCAGTAGGGAGAGCCGTGAAGAAAGAGAGATGGGTCGAGCCGTATCATAAGAAATGGGCCGAGCCCCTCTCTAAAGATACCTGGGCCGAGCCGCGCCTCAGTGAGGTGGACCGAATCATGTCTCGACTAAAGTGGCAAGTGGGCCGAGCCGTGGAGAAGTTATATGGGCCGAGCCGTGGAAAAGTTCATATGGGCTGAACTAAAGCCTTGAGAGACGAAGCCCATAAAAACCCTAGGCGAAATACAAAGGCGGTGAGCCGCACGAGGCGATGAGGAAATATTCCGAAAATCTCTCCCGAGATTCTCGGCTAGGCGGTTCGGAGAATTAGTATAAATAGATGATGTATATAATTCATTCTGTAACTTTTGCAACCCTAAGCAATAAGAGCTAAACACTTTTACAGCAATAAAGACTTTCTTTCGATCTTTCTGTTCTTGACGATAAACCCTAGAGGTTTCCGATCCCTTAGTTTTCTTTAAACAAATTTCTGGTTGTGCGAGTTTTGGCTCACACAATTTGGCGCTGTCTGTGGGGAAACGAAACTTTCTTACTCTAAATCGACAAGACTTTAAGATCCGAAGAACATGGCGAGCAACACCCCCGACGACAACAACAACAACAACACCGGTAACGGTGCAGAGAAAGACGCTCCGGCATCGGGCACAACGACGACAACGATCGAAACCCAAGAGGAGATGCGAAACATGATGGCTGCGTTGATGAAGAAAATCAACGAACAGGATAAAAGAAACGAGGCGATTACGGAGAGGCTCGACGCGATGGCGGCTGAGCGACTACACCCAACTTGGAGAGCCGGAATTCCTGACCCGATGGATGGAATCCGGAATCCGTAGACGCCTCAGGGAGCGGTGCAAGAAACCCCTCGGCTCCTCCAATGTCTCGTCTCCTCGACGAACAGACCCCCGCGGCGACCCGAGTCAACATGACCGAGCCGAAACTCAAGGCGACGAGCCGGCGAAGAAGAAAACGATGCGATCGACGTCGGCGCCCAGCAGAACGACGGAACCGCGAATCCGCAACAAACCGGCTCGGCTCGGCGAATAAGTCAAGAAGACCTCGCCTCGGCACTAAACGGCGTCCGAACTGACGAAGTTTCCGACCCGACCCGGATCGATAATCCAACCGAGGAAGAAGAAAACCTCCAATGGATCGAGCAGGCAGAGCACGAAGATGAGCCGAGGAGAGAGGAGCGGGAGCGACCCCCCCAATCAAAGGGAATGACTCACGCACAAACTCTCGAACTCAAAGAGCTGCGAGCCTCGATGGCTCGGACAGTAGCTGAAATACGCGCCATGAAACCCAAGTGCACAACGCGACATGCGCCGCGCCCGAAATCGACCGAATGCTTGAAGAAACTCAGAGAACCCCATTCACTGCAAGAATCACGGAGGCCAGGATTCCCGAGCCGACGAAGCTGAGAATCCCGTTCTACGAAGGAACAACCGACCCGAAAGCACACATCACAGCGTTTTGGATAGCAATGGGACGAGCCTTCACAAAGAACGCCGCTAAACTCACCGAGCGCGAAGTAGACGCCGTATACTGCCTGCTCTTCGTGGAGCATCTCAAGGGAGCCGCACTCGAGTGGTTTTCAAGGCAGGAACGAAATTCAATCGACAATTTTTAACAGCTCTCCGCCTTGTTCCTTAAGCAATACTCGATGTTTATGGACAGAGGAACATCCGATGCCGACCTGTGGACACTATCCCAAGGACCGAACGAACCGCTTCGGGATTACATTACAGAGCGACAAGGCTGCGCTCGAGGCTCTGAAACGATCTTTGTGGTACAAATCCGAGTATCGACGGGAGATGGCTCTCAACACGCCGCAAACAATTCAAGACGCTTTGCACCGATCATCAGACTTCGTCGTAAACGAGGAGGAAATGAAAAACTTTGACGAGCAGTACGAAGCAACGAAAGCAGAAATCCGAAGCTCAATTTTGCTGCCCCCAGCGAAGAAGGGTAACCCATCGAGCAACGCATCAACGCAGAGCTCGGATGAACCTAGAAGCGGAGGCGTCCATAACTACCAGATAGGCACCGGACGCGGAAGAGGAGAGCCGCGCAACAACACTTGGGTGAGAAAGTCCGCCAACTACGACGAGAAGGCTTTCTGCGAGTATCACCAGACCTACGGGCATTCAACGGCTCAATGCCGAACTTTAGGAGCAAAGCTCGCAGCAAAGATGGCAGCGGGAGAGCTCCAAAACGCGGTCAACCTCAAAGACCTCGTTCCTAACGAACAACAAGAGAGAGCCGAGCCGAGCGGCGTGGCGGAACCCGCGAATCCTCCCCGACGAGGCGATAACCCCAAGCGCGACAGGAGAGGCGAACCATCAAAGCCTATACTACCAAGATACCGTGTCCTCCATCAAAGCCTATCAGCGCCGAGCCGAAGCGAAGGAGAATTGGACAGAACCAACCGACGTCCCAAACACAGTGATCTCCTTCGCCGAGGAGGAAACGGCAGGAATTGATCGACCTCATAACGATCTGTTGGTGATTGAGTTAACGATCAGGGATCATGATGTAGCAAGGGTGCTCATCGATACTGGAAGCTCAGTGAACGTCATCTTCAGGGAAACACTCAGAAGAATGGGAATCGACCTCTCCGAGGTGGAAGCAATCCCCAAACCTCTAACCGGATTTTCAGGAGAAACGACGATGACTATGGGAACGATCAGGCTTCCAGTGGTAGCTGGCGGAGTCACTAAGATCGTCGAATTCTGTGTCACCGATCACCCAGCAATATACAATGTGATCATGGGAACTCCGTGGATCAACGGGATGAGGGCGGTACCCTCTACCTATCATCTCTGCCTCAAATTCCCAACCCCAGCAGGTGTTAAAACGATCTGGGGGAGTCAGAAGGAGTCACGAATGTGCTGCCTGGCCGAGCACAAGCTAAGGAACCCCGTCACCGACGCACGAGCAGACATCGACCGCAAAAAGATGAAGACAGACCCAGAGCCCGCGAACGAGCTCTCGAAACTCTTATAGCAATTACGAATCGCGGAGAGCCGCGAAACACGCGCCGAGCCAGTATGCGATGCAGTGGACTCGGTGTGTATAGATGAGGCGCGCCCGGAGCGATGCGTCGAAATAGGAACGAAACTAGAAGAGCCTCTGAGAAGCGAACTCCTTTCCCTCCTCAAGGAAAACATCAACACTTTTGCCTGGACAGCAGAAGATATGCCAGGCATAAGCATCGACGTGACCTGTCACGAGCTGAATGTGGATCCGACCTTTAAACCAGTAAAGCAGAAAAGAAGGAAGCTCGGCCCCGAACGAGCTAAAGCAGTTAACGACGAAGTCGAAAGGTTACTCGAAGTAGAATCAATCGCCGAGGCCAAATATCCGGACTGGCTCGCAAATCCGGTGGTCGTGAAGAAGAAGAACGGCAAGTGGCGAGTATGTGTGGATTTCACCGACCTCAACAAGGCGTGCCCAAAGGACAGCTTTCCCTTGCCACACATCGACCGGCTCGTCGAAGCCACTGCAGGGGAATAGACTGTTAACATTTATGGACGCGTTCTCCGGCTACAATCAGATCCTAATGCATCCTGATGATCGAGAAAAAACGGCATTCATAACTGATCGCGGGATATACTGCTACAAAGTCATGCCGTTCGGGCTCAAGAACGCAGGAGCAACGTATCAACGGCTCGTCAATAAAATGGTCGCGGCTCAGCTCGTAAAAACCATGGAAGTATACATCGACGACATGTTATTCAAATCACTCAAGGAGGAAGACCACGTCGCGCATCTACGGGAATGCTTCGAACAATTGAACAAGCACAACATGAAACTAAACCCGGCGAAGTGCAGGTTCGCGGTCACCTCGGGAGAATTCCTCGGCTATCTGGTAACTCACCGAGGCATAGAAGCAAACCCCAAGCAGATCAAGAATTTTATTTAGATGCCCTCTCCAAGGACGAAGCGCGAAGTGCAGAGGCTCACAGGAAGAGTCGCCGCGCTAAACAGGTTTATTTCCCGTTCCACAGACAAATGCCTGCCCTTCTACGACACCCTCCGAGGAAACAAGAAATTTGAGTGGGACGAACGATGCGAGACGGCTTTCCAGGAATTGAAGAATTATCTGGCGAGCCCACCAATCTTAGAAAAACCAGTCGAAGGAGAGCCGCTCTTCCTCTACATCGCAGTGTCTGCTACAGCTGTAAGCGGGGTGCTTATCAGAGAAGAACGATCCGAGCAAAAGCCCATTTTCTACATCAGCCAGACATTGACCGACGCCGAGACTCGCTTCCCCCAGATCGAGAAGGTCGCCCTAGCCGTCGTAGTCTCGGCTCGGAAACTGCGCCTGTACTTTCAATCACATTCGATTGTTGTGCTCGCTACGCTTCCGCTGCGCTCGATCCTACACAGCCCTAGCCAATCCGGTCACAGCCGCTAAGCGAATACGACATCGAGTATCGGAACAGGTCGTCTGCAAAGTCACAGGTGCTCGCAGATTTCCTCATTGAACTTCCCGCCGAAGCAACAAACGAGCCGACTCTAGGCGAAGTATGGACGCTGCACGTCGACGGCTCGTCGTCTAAACACGGCTCGGGAATAGGAATCCGCCTCACCTCTCCCACCGGAGAAATATTGGAGCAGTCTTTTCGCCTGAACGTCCACGCCTCGAACAACGAACCAGAATACGAAGCATTGATCGCCGGCATACGACTAGCGCAGGGAATCAGAGTTCGAAAGATAAGAACCTTTTGCGATTCACAGCTCGTAGCATGTCAGTTCAGCGGAGAATACGAGGCGAAGGATGGACGAATGGGAGCTTACCTCAAAGTGGTCCGAGAGTTGGTGCAAAAATTCGATGAGTTCGAACTCACTCGCATTCCCCGAGGAGAAAACACCTCGGCCGACGCCTTGGCAGCACTCGCTTCGACCTCAGACCCAGACCTCCGACGAACGATCCCAGTCGAATTCATCGAACGTCCTAGTATCGAAGAGGTGGAAGGAGTTCGGCTGATAAATCCTCTTGAATAAGAACCAGAGGACGACGAAGCCGTTCCTATGGATGAAGACGCCTCACCGGCCGAGCCGGAGTACGGCTGCGACAAAGAATGGCTCGGAGCTATCCAGGTGTATATCGCCGATAGAGAGGTGCCAACCGACAAGTGGGAAGCCCGCAAACTAAAAGCTCAGGCCGCGCGGTAAGTCCTCGTCGATGGCGAGGTGTTTAAATGGAGATTTTCAGGGCCTCTCATGACATGCGTCGAAGGACCGGAGGCAAGAAAGATCATGCACGAGGTGCACAGTGGCGCGTGCGGGAACCATTCCAGCGGAAGGTCGCTCGCTATCAAGATTAAACGGCACGGCTACTTCTAGCCCACGAGTGTCAAGGACTGCGAGAAATTTACAGCGAAGTGCGAGAAGTGTCAGCGGCACCCTCCAACAATTCATCAACCCACCGAGTTGCTCTCGTCAATTTCATCGCCTTATCCGTTTATGAGATGGTCGATGGACATTGTCGGACCTCTACATCGCTCGAAGCAGAAGCGTTTTCTGCTCGTCCTCACGGATTACTTTTCCAAGTGGGTCGAAGCTGATTCCTACGCAAGCATAAAGGATTTTCAAGTCGAACACTTCGTTTGGAAAAATATCATCTGCCGACACGGGGTCCCCTACGAGATAGTCACCAACAACGGATCCCAGTTCATCTCAACACGCTTCGAATCCTTCTGCGAGAAGTGGAAAAACCGCCTCAGCAAATCTACGCCAAGATACCCTCAAGGGAACGGACAAGCCAAAGCAGCCAACAAGAGGATCCTCGACGGTCTGAAAAAGAGGCTCGACGCCAAGAAGGGACGGTGGGCAGACGAACTCGAAGGAGTCCTTTGGTCTCATCGGACAACTCCGCGCCGAGCCACCGGGGAAACTCCATTCGCTTTGGTCTACGGATCGGAGTGCGTAATTCCCCCCGAGGTGGATTTCCCAGGTATTCGACAAAGACTTCTACCAGGACAGGAGGGTTTGAACCACTTAATGATGCTAGATGAGCTCGACCTAATCAACAAAAAGTGCGACCAAGCCTTAATTCGAATCCAGAACTATCAACAAGCAACGGCGCGATACTACAACAAAACCGTTCGTAGCTGAAGATTCAAAGCAGGGGAGCTCGTCCTCCGAAAGGTCTTCTAAAACACTGCCGAGAAGAACGCAAGAAATCTCGGAGCAAATTGGGAAGGACCTTACAAGGTCGCAAAAGTGGTTCGTCCAGGAGTCTACGAACTCGCGACACTAGCTGACGAGGCGGTTCCAAGATCATGGAACGCAATGCATCTGAAGAAATACTATCACTAAGGATACAGCACGACCAACATGAACTACAGGACAGCTTGATCCCTGCAAAGGGTACGTAGGCAGCCCGTCCTCGGACGGGTTCAGCTGTCCCCCCTCCTAAAAAGGAGGGGGAGTGGGTACGTATACATACCTCTTTTAACGCTACAATTTTTAGCTTTTTAGCCCGCTCACTTAGGAACATCGCCACTTCGGCACATTCTCAGCTCGTTTTGAATCATCTAGTTATTTCATGTTTACCTTGGATTTCTATTTTGTCCATTATCGCTTCGGCTAGTTTCTCATTCTTTCTAAATCAGCAACTTATTTTAGCAAGCTCGGATTTTTAAACTCTTTCACTCATCACTTCGGGGAGAAATCATACCACTTCGGCATGATATCATAACCTGATTACCTCGGACCTTCGTTGGTCCTCAGTTTCAGTTCGACAAACTAAGCCTCCGAACGCCTCGTCTCGTTGCTGGCCACAACGGGACAACAAATACAAAGTTCTCTAAACGGACTTTTACCACCTTTCCTAGGACGAGGGTGCAAGTTACATCCTATATGGATAAAAATGAAGCGCGCTATATAAATATCAGACCAAAAACGTATCAGGTCGCCATGGTTTACTATCGCACACGAGATTATAAGTCGAGACTACATCGCTTTCTCTAAAACCGAAGTAAACTCTTGAAACCCGGAGAAGCCTACTCATCCTCTCGGAAACGCCGGTCCATAGTCAAATTCAATGAGACTACCAAATCATCCTCGTTTAACAAAAATAAAAACAAAAAGCCTCGTCGTTTACACGGCTCGGCACCACGCAATGAGAAAACGCCTCGTCGTTTACACGGCTCGGCACCATGCAAAGCAAAAACGCCTTGTCCTTTACACGGCTTGGCACCATCCAATGAGAAAAACGCCTTGTCGTTTACACGGCTCGGCACCATACAAAGCGAAAACGCCTCGTCGTGTACACGGCTCGGCACCATGCCAGCAAAATTTGCCAGCTCGGGATTAAGAATCCAGCATCACCCGAAAGACGCGTCACAAAGCTAACTCCCAGCTCGGGATTGAGAATCCAAACAGGATCCTTAAAACAACTAACCCCTTAGCCCGTATTTCTGTCAATTCCAAAAATTCGGCTAAGGAAGCAATCAAAATCCTTTTCAACACAACAATTTTCATCCTTGGCAATTCTTTTCTGAGCCAACAGTTTTCGCAAACATTCTCACAGAAACAACTAAATTAGAAAAACGGCTAAGGAAGGAATAACATGACAAAAATATCAATTGGATAAAGCCATCCAGGCACCAGTAACATACGAGTTCAAAAGGCAAATATAAAAAAAATCCTAAGTACATGCGAGACAAGACAGGAAAAAGCAGAGAGTGTCAAGCCGCGGACTGCGTTTCACGCTCAGCAAGGAGGTTCGAGGGGATCGGCGTACCCGCATTCGATCCGTTCGGATCTACCACGTCTAAGTTGGCCGCTGTCTCTTCGAGCGGCTCGTTGCCAAGGCTGGTATCGACCGAGTCCGGCGATGCGCTCATACGCGTCGTCGTCGGTGTACTCGCTCTCCTAGCTTTTTAGCTGCGCCTCCTCGTCGTCGAGCGTTGGGGCGTATAGTTTCTTTAGGACGGCAATCATCGCAAGATTGCCCTTGATTTGCCCCAATTCGTTTTCATCGTTTTTGGCCTTCTCAAGTTTGGCCAGACCCTCCTCTACTTTGGCGAGGCGCTCCTGAAACTTAGTGGTCAGCTCTCGCCTCGCCTCCTTCTTCGCGCGTTTGACCTTGGCTACAAACAGCGCGTCCTTAGCCTCAATACGCCTTTTAAGCAACGCCACCTTGGCGCTTTTAGCTCTCCTTGCTTCCTCCAGGCGAATCACCGAGGCGGAAACTTTGTCGACATCGGCGCGGAGAACTATCTTCTCCTCCTCCAACCTCGACACTCGGGCCATCGCCTCGGTGAGTTTCCCCTTCGCCGCCGTGGCTTTGTTTTGCGCCTCTTCCAGCTTCACCTTTGACGCCGCGGTCTCATTTTGGGCCTCGTCCAAACGACGCTCGACCTTAGACAGGTCCGCCTCATACTCGGCCATCAGGTCGTTAATGGCCGCGACAAACTGCAGAGAACAAACCTGCGTTAAACACTTCGTAAAATTCGCAAAAATAAAGGAAAGCAAATAGAACGTACCTTGGTACCGCGCTGCGCCATCGCGCCGTATGACCTCGGCCTCCTCAGCTTCTCCGGAGGAGGAAGACGCGTGTTCGCGTTATTTACATGCGAGAACATGACGGCAGAAGCACCAGGATCGTCAACAACCAACTTACGCGCGGTGGGGTCCCCGGGCGTCGGTTTCCGCCTCTTCTTGGACGGCTCATCCTTCTGAACGGCGACGCCCTTCCCCTTGTCAGTAGCCAAACGTTTTCGGCTAGAGTCATGCTTCTGAACAACCGAAGTCGGTGGCCTCGTCGACTTCGGGAGGGCCAAGATGGCGGATTGCGAAGGAGTCTTACTCCGCGCCGCCGAGCCGTCCCCGGACACCTCGGGGATAATTTTGCCCGGTTCCACCTCGGGCGCTGCATCTTTCTCAGCCGCCTCGGCAGTGTCGCCTTCTGCGGCTTGGACCATTACATCTCCTTCCCGGCTCGGCGGGTCGGGTTGAGGGACGGCCTCGGCTTGCGCTGAAACCGCCTCAGCTTGCGCTGGAATTGCCTCGGTTTGCGCATGAGCCGCCTCGGCAGCTTGTCTAGCAGCCTCCTCTTCCTCGCGCCTCTTCTTTTCTCTGAGAGCAATTATCACCATCTTATCCCGGGTATCTCTTAAAGAACTTGAGGACGAAGAGCTGACGGGGACTCCGGCAAGGATGGCTCGCGCTTTTTCTACTTTTTCGAGGGTGAAGTTCTTTCTCCAATTAACCTTCCGCGCCGAAAGAGAGTCTCGAACAGTAAAGAGGTCGTCGGGAATCGGGGGAAGAAAGCACCGAACTGCAAAACAAAGCAAAAAAGAAAAATTTTCAGAAAAGGAAGAGGATACCAAAGATAGTTCCGAGCTGTGGCAAAGCTTCGGGTCGGCTACCAAGTGGTCCCCAAGCGGTCTTGGTTCTTTGAACGTAATTCTCGCCGACCGACGCCTCGTTCACCAAGACGTAGAAGAAGCGTTCAGTCCAAAACTGATCCGTCGCTTCGCCTTGTTAGAAATATAGAATCTATTTCCCTTCGGAGCTTTCCTGATTTCCAGCAAGTTCAGCAGGTGATTCAGCTCGATATCAACTCCGCACTCGAAGGTTCGAACTAAGATGCCAATCATATGCCGTAATCCCCTCGGCATGATTTGCCCAATCGAGATCCCGTGTTTCCAGAGATATTCGAGGATCACTCGGGGGATCGGGAACCAGAGGAAGCAAAGCTCGAAGAACGCCTCGTACAGAGTGAAATGATTCTCTGGAGGCTTGTCGGCTCGGTCGCTCTTCTCTGGAACGACGAACTCCACCGCCTCGGATATCCCGAAGCGATGCCTTAACGCCTCGAGCGACTCAAGGGAGCAAAGCGTAGAGCCAGGCGGGTCAGGTTTTTGTCTCTTAATTCTTGGCCCTCGCCCAGATGTGGAAGCGCCTCGGGACGCCATGAGACGTTCCAATTCACGCTTCGCCTCGAAAAGGTCAAAGGGAAATGCCTCCTCCTCGGCCTTAAGTGCGGCGCGATTAATGTCTTCATCAGGAACGGGATCCTAGGGACGGCTCGTCGAAACCGACGGCTCGCCATCCGGAGAGCCGACATCTGATGGGTTTGCATGGTTTGACGCTTCGTCAGATGAACGATTGGAGGGGCTCGGCGAAACAGACGCCTCGGAGGATTCTCCCGTACCTCTCGCCTCGGTATCTACGCGGCTCAGCCCGTAATGAAAAAGTGAATCCAACGAATCATCAGAGCAGCTCGACATAATTTACGACTTGTACAAGAGTTACAGCACGACTCGGCGAGCCTCTACCGGAAAAAGATCTGGAACGACGGAGACCTCGGAAACCCTAGCCGGAAAATAAATAAACTAGAGAGAGAAAGAAGAGAGAAGGGAGAGCTACCTTTAGTAAAAACGAGTGAGTCTGAAGATAATGAGGAAGAATGAAGGAGCTCACCCATTTATAGGAAAACCAAAGCGCGTGAATTCCGCGTAAACCTCGGGAAACCTTCCAAACAGCGCGTGGAATCCGCAGTGAAATGGCTAGATCGAACTGCGTCGGTCGCACGCGCCAATAAATCAGGAATCTTCTCTCGGAAGACCAACAGTTGGGACACCCAAGTTTTCAGCAGGTATCTTACCAAAGTAAACGCCTCGTCGTTAACGAAACGGCTCGGCATTAACTCTCTCTTGAAACGCCTTGTCGTTAACAAAACGGCTCGGCATTAACTCTCTCTTGAAACGCCTCGTCGTTAACAAAACGGCTCGGCATTAACTCTCTCTTGAAACGCCTCGTCGTTAACGAAACGGCTCGGCATGAATTTTCTCTTGAAACGCCTCGTCGTTAACGAAACGGCTCGGCACGAATTTTCTCACGAAACGCCTCGTCGTTAACAAAACGGCTCGGCACGAACTTTCTCTCGAAACGCCTCGCCGTTTATTCGGATCGGCATAACCTTCTCAAATCGCCTCGTCATGGCTCATCATTACTAAACGGAATCGCCTCGGCTCATTATTACCAAACGAAATCGCCTCGTCCTTAACTTGCCTCGGCATCTTCGGTACCCTTTCGAAACACCTCGGCACCCTCGGCACTCCTTGGAAACGCCTCGGCGTCTTCACTCCCAAAAACATCTCATCTGGGCTTACATCATAACAGCTCGACTCGATGGTTTATCCTACGGTCAGGAGTAATGGACCTCGTCACTCTCGCCTCCAAAACTGACGAGCTTGGGGGCTAACTGTTGGGGTCGGTTTTCACCCCACGCAGATAAAACCATCTCAAAATGACTAAGTATGGAAAGTGGGAGAGTCGTGGTCACTAAATGGGAGAGCCGTTCTCACCAAGACAAGCGGGAGAGCCGCGATCACCAAGTGGGAGAGCCGTGAAGGAAGACCAGTAGGGAGAGCCGTGAAGAAAGAGAGATGGGCCGAGCCGTATCATAAGAAATAAGCCGAGCCCCTCTCTAAACATACCTGGGCCGAGCCGCGCCTCGGTGAGGTGGACCGAATCATGTCTCGACTAAAATGGCAAGTGGGCCGAGCCGTGGAGAAGTTAGATGGCCGAGCCGTGGAAAAGTTCATATGGGCTGAACTGAAGCCTTGAGAGACGAAGCCCATAAAAACCCTAGGCAAAATACAAAGGCGGTGAGCCGCACGAGGCGATAAGGAAATATTCCAAAAAATCTCTCCCGAGATTCTCGGCTAGGCGGTTCGGAGAATTAGTATAAATAGATGATGTATATAATTCATTCTGTAACTTTTGCAACCCTAAGCAATAAGAGCTAAACACTTTTACAGCAATAAAGACTTTCTTTCGATCTTTCTGTTCTTGACGATAAACCCTAGAAGTTTCCGATCCCTTAGTTTTCTTTAAACAAATTTCTGGTTGTGCGAGTTTTGGCTCACACAACAAGTGTTTTACTCAAGGGAAGATGATTCATCAAATTGGTATGTTGTGATGAGAGGACCTTCAAGAAGATACAGTAAAGAAGATTTTGCGGATTCTAATGCAGATATTGGGCCACTGCCGTCGAATGTTGACATGGAATGTTGACATGGAAGTCGACATGGATGAGGCTAGAAATGCACGAACTGATTGTGAAGGAATTTATGTTTGAAATGTAGCTTCTTAAGTCTATTGATCTCTGTGCTGTGAATAAAATTTGATTGCATATTGGGTGTTTTCTGGTTGCTAGCTTCTTGTCGGTTTATTGATCTCTGTGATGTGAAACACTTAAGTTCTCTATGTCTTATAACTAAGTGATCTGTCTTTTGTTGCAGGTGAATGAAGATGGGAAAGAAGAAGAGCAATCGTGGGAGAAAGAAGAAAGTTACTGCAGTTATCGATGACGAGCCCGAATATGTAGGTCATGTGGAACCCAATCACGTCGAGTTAGAGCAACCTGGAGAATAGGAGCATGTTTCACAGCATTTGGAAGACTCAACGCATTTGGAAGATACACAACCTGGAGAAGAGGAGCATGTTTCACATCATTTGGAAGACTCAACGCCTTTGGAAGATATACAACCTGGACAAGATGAGCCCGGAAGGACATCTGCTGCAGATGGAGTGTTCACGAGGAGCCTGAAGGTGAGGTTGAAATTTCTGGAGATGATGATCTTCCGAAGGACCAAAGCGGAAGAGAAAAAGAGGCCCAACTTTGATGAGAAACATTGCAAAGGATCCAAATGTCAGAGAATATGTTGACTTCACAGCCACAGGTGAACCTTGTGGTCCTGGTTCAGTCAAGCTATAATCATATTTAGGGCCCTTGGTACGAGAACACGTCCCTGTTACAGTTGAGAGTTGGTTGAAAATCAGCGAGGAAGTGAAAACAGTTCTGTGGAGGTCTATCCAGGTGCCTTATCCTATTCATTTACATCTTGGTGACTTATATATATACATATATGTATTTTTTCCACCGAATTGTATATTTATTGAATTTTGGTAACTGATTGTAGGCAAGATTTGCACTTGATCAACCATATCAGAAGAAAGTTGTTTTCAAGCAGATGGGATGTCTTTGGAGGTCATCCAAATCCCGATTAGTAACTAAGGTTAATAAAGCAACGACTAATCAACAAAGGATGTATTTGCGACCAACCAATGTCTCTCCCACAGATTGGAAAAAATTTGTCAAAGTCAAAACTAGCACAGCCTTTAAGGTATGTAAATTGGAACTAATTACTCTGTGATTGATATATGTATAGTTGATTATGTAGTAAAACTCATCTGTCAGGTTGTGAGTGAGTCATACAAAAAAAGAAGGGCCAGTCAGGTTCCACACACTTGTAGCCGCAAAGGAATGATGAGATTGACAGAAGATCTGGTAAGTATATGTTGATATATTCTTATGCATCTATCAGTTTACTTAATATACTACATAGAAAGTGTCGTATATAGTTAACCGTTTTTTGTGTTTTGTGATAGAAAAAAATTAGTGAAGATCCGTCTGAAGTGGACAGGCTAAAAGTATGGATGAAGTCACGTACCAGAAAAGATGGTACGCAGTGAATGACGTTGCTGCAGAGAAGTTTGTAAGCTGTAAAGGTTGATAAGTAAAGAGTTTCGTTTTTGGTCGTGAGTTTAAACTATGGGCGAGTCACCGAGATTTTTTGTTTTGCAGAAAAAGGCAGCTGAGTTGGTTGCTAGGAATGTTCCATCAACTGAAACAAATATCGGAGAAGATACACTAAGCCAGCTTTTAGGACCTGATAATCCAGGTAGGCTGAGAGCAATGGGTAGGTCTATGAGTAAGACTAAACTAGCATGTTTTCAAGTGAAGCAAACGTGTTTGGCTGAGATGGAAGTGAAGCAAGTGAATTTACAGAAAAAGGTTGAGGCGTTGCAAAATGAAGTTGATGTACTTAAGAAACAGGTCACAACCTCATTATTTCTTTAATAATCAGCCTCGTAATTAATACATCTATTTGACATTTTTTTTTCATATTTCAGAAACAAGAACTTGAAGTCGGAGAAAACTTAGCTGTAAAAGTAAGTAATCTAGTTCAAAATAGTTTTACTGATCATTTGCAATATCTAAAATATTACTCTAACAACCTGTTGTAGAGTGTGAACAAAGGATCACACCCAAAGTGTGTGGTGATTGATTGGGAGGGTACTGGTGAACACGTTGCTGAGGGGCGTATAATTCCTGCTTCTCCAACTGAATTAGTCAATGGTGCTCCATTAGGACCTACGGATGTAAAAGTATTGATTGAGTTTGTAATCAAACCAGACGCTTTTCTTTGGAGACCTGCAACAAACATGTGTAGGGTTAAGGATGCTATTGGAGAGTTTGTTGCATGGTCTGCCAAGTATTATGGTCTTAAAGATCAGATGGCAAAACCATCAGACGTTGTCCCTACGGTAAAGTTTAATTTTCAGAATCATATATATTTCTTTAGCCCATTTTAAATGGTCTTTGATGAGAATAGTATTAACTTGCAGAGATGATTATTTGGTGAACATAATTGATAGATTGTTTATGCATATTTGACAGGATTCTTTAAACAAGTGCAAACTACTGGATTTGTCCTCAGATGATGTTGTCGTTGCTGAAGGCTATTGGCATACAGATGAGAAAGAAGTATTGGTGAATGGATTTCCACTCGGGTCTGGTGCTGTTAAAGTATTTGTGGAAGCTATACTTCAACCTGGAACATTCATATGGCGGCCTTCGAATGATATCGCATACCTAGAAGACTGTTTAAATTCGTTTGTGTCATGGCCTGTCAATAAAGTTGTTTTAAAAAAAACCACAGATGCAAGAGGTCACAAGCCACCTGTTCATAAATCTAAAGCATCTGAGAAAGGACCAACTCAAAAAGCTGCAGCAAAAGGTTCTACTTCACCTGCTGAGAAGTCTCCAGACTTGACAGGTCCAAAAGCTATAACAAAAGGTTCAACATCTCATATTGCGAATGCTCCAGCTTCAAAATGTTCA